AATAAAACATGCATGAATTATGGACTCAGATTCTTCACCACAAAAATTGCAGATAGGATCCATTTTCAAACCTTTCTTGACGAGATTAACTTTGACTGGCAGAGTTTCAGAGATGCACTTCCAGATAAAAAAACATAACTTTACTCACTACTTTAAGTTTCCACAGCCTCTGCTTAACTTTTAGCATAGTAAGTCCAACTTTTGAGCTACAGCCAGGCAAATCCATTGCAAGCAACTCTTGAGCAGACAAGTAAGAATATGTGCTTGCTACTGTGAATACCCCCTTCTTATTAAACAACCAGTGCCTTCTGTCCTCTTGGTTTGCCTTAATGGAATTGATAGCCAGAATTGTTGCACTGTCCTGGGCATTATACACTTGCTTAACCAACCAGTCATTCCAACCTATCCCAGAGGCATTCAAAAGATCTTTCACCCAGATAAGGTGACCTCTTGCAAGATTCATAAGCTCAGGTTTAGTCTGTGGCAAGCTAGGAACCCAATTAACATCCTCCAATCTAGTTGAAGCTCCATTTCTAATCTCTACTGCATACCCCTTAGCAAATGTAGGCAACACTTTCAGCCAGTTAGACCACAGCCAAGAGCAAGTTGGAGTTGTTACAGCCTCGAAAATAGAGCAGTTGGGAAAATATTTCCCGTTCAAGATTCTGCTGACAAGTAAATTTGGCTGTGTGTAAATCCTCCAGAGCTGCTTGCAGATTAAGGATGTGTTAAAAAGATGAAGATCCATAAAGCCAAGGCCTCCATTTTCTTAGGAAGAGACAGAAAATTCCAAGTTTTCCAGTGAATGCCTTTAGAATGATCATCCCCAGTGCTCCACCAAAAGTTGGAGCACAGTTTGATAATGTTGGCACACAGGGTTTTAGGAAGTAAGAAACAAGACATAGTGAACAATGGAAGAGCTTGCGGAACAGCCTTGATGAGAACTGCCTTACCATCTTGGCTCAAAAGTTTTGATCTTCAGCTCTGCAGTCTGCCAAGCACAGAGTCAAGGATATACTGAAAAGTGTTCAGTTTTGATCTTCCAATACCGAGGGGAAGGCCCAAGTATCTTGTAGATCTATGACAGGTAATCCCAGGCATGGAGGCACAAATAATGTTCTTGAGATGAACTGGGGTTTTCCTGCTGAAGAAAATTGAAGATTTGCTCATATTAACAGACTGGCTAGTAAAGAGCCTATATCTTCCAAAAATGTCAGTGAGAGAGTTGACTTGATCAACAGAAGCTTTACATAAGACTAAGGAGTCATCTACAAATAATAAGTGTGAGATGGGAGGTCCATTTGGGGAGATCTTCAGAGCAGTTAGGTGACCAGAGTTCACAGCTTGAGAGATTAAGGCAGATAACATTTCAGCAACTATAAGGAATAGATAAGGAGATATGGGATCTCCTTGTCTAATTCCCCTTGTGGGAAGAACAAAGCCACTGACTGTGCCATTGATTTTAAAAGAAAAAGTGGAAGAAGTAATACAAATCATGACCAAACAAACAAAGTCTGCATGGAATCCCATCTTCAGCATAATTTTTTTGATACAAATCCACTCAACTCTGTCAAAAGCCTTCACTAAATCAAGTTTTAAGGCCATGAAGCAGTTATGAACTGAGTTGTGCCTGTTCAGATAATGGAAGGCTTCTTGACCAATTATCACATTATCTAAGAGTTGTCTACCCTTAATGAAAGCTGATTGAGAGTCACTGATGCACACATCCAAACACTTTTGCAGCCTAGAGGCAATGATTTTAGACAGAATCTTATAGACAACTGTGCAAAGACTGATAGGTCTGAATTGAGATACAAACTCTGGGTTATTGCATTTAGGAATAAGAGACACAATGGTGTGATTCCAGTATTTGAGAAGCAGACCTTTGTTATTAAAGAAACTAGAAATTGCAGACACCAAATCAATTTTAATATTGTCCCAGAATTTTTGATAAAAGAGTGCAGTCATACCATCCTCCCCAGGGGAATTCTCTGGCTGCAAACTGAAAAAAGCTGACTTTATGTCCTCTTCTGTAACCTGTTGTATCAACAATTGATTCATATCTGATGTAACAGAGGAAGGAACAAGAGAAAGGATTGAATCTCCTCCCCAGGAACCCTCAGAGGAGAACAAATCAGAGTAAAAATGGGCAATGTGGTTCTGAATAGCAAGCTGAGTGTCACACACTGTGTTCTGAGGGGTGAGAAGTTTTGATATGGCATTTTGTCTTCTTCTCATCATAGTATAAGAATGGAAAAATTTGGTATTGCTATCCCCTTCTTTCAGCCATTGAATCTTGGCTTTTTGTTGCCAATGGAGTTCTTCATTCTTGTGGGCAATATTTAACTCCTTCTTTGTGTCAAGCCACTCCTCCAAGTTCTCTATACTGCCATTCTGCTGCAGGAGGTCAAGCTTCTTTGAGAGATTATCAATTGAGGACTGGTTTTGAGATTTAAAGTTTGCACTCCAAATGAGAATAGCCTGTCTAGTAGCCTTAATTTTTTCTTTGAGAATAAAGAAGGGAGTTCCTGAATAGTGACTATTCCAGGCTGTTTGAATTACTTCATTAATACCTTCCCTTGAAAGCCATCTCTTATCAAAATGAAACCTTTTTTTATTTCTATCTGCCAAAGTCCCTGATTGGAGAATCAACATTGAGTGGTCTGAAGCTGACTTGGCAATGTTAGAAATGGATGCTTGAGGATGAGAATTCCGCCATTGAGCAGAGGCAAACCCTCTATCTAATTTCTCTTCCACTAGCCCTTCTGAGAATCTGTTATTACACCAGGTGAATTTATAACCAATCATGTTTATTTCCTCCATCTCCATTATGTCAATAAACGAGTTGAAGCCGGCCATACTAGCAGGGGATCTGAGAACACCCCCTCTTTTTTCATCACTGGTGCAGATGTCATTCCAATCCCCCAAAATATGCCATAGGTTTCCCCAAGAAGGTTGAGCATGAAGTATTTCTGACCATTTAGAGAGTCTGTTGTGGTAGTAGGTACTGAGATATACAAAAATGCCCCAGGTTGGAAGAAAGTCCTGCAGCTTGTATTCAACAGCAATATAACAACTATGACTAAAAATGTGAAGGATCTGGACCTCAAGGTTCCAGCACAACATCATACCTCCACTAAGTCCAACAGGATCAACAATAGAGACTCTGTTATCAAAGCCTAGTTTCCTAGCAACTGATTTCACAAAAGAAGAAGATTTTTTTGTTTCTGACAGAAAGGTAAAAACTGGGTGGTGAGTTCTAATAGACTCTCGGATTTGGGAAATCGTAGAGGGCCCACCCAGCCCTCTACAATTCCACACTAGGGCTAACATTGGTCACTTGGGTGCCATTCTAGGCTGGCCACCCCCACCTGCTTGGTATCCTTCTTTTGCTTTTTACCATCTTTCTGATTCTGAGAGTTCTCTACCTCATCTTCATTTGGTCCTTCAATAAGAACTCTGGGCCTCTTCCCTTGTATGTCAGTTTCCATATCCAAAGGATTAATAGTTTGCTCTTTAAGTCTACTGAGCCTGGATGAAGTCCTTCTCCACATCTGTGGCTGAGAATTTGGGAGAGCCAAATGGAGACTCTGATAAGCAACTGTTGAGTCTTCAATTTCCATGAGTTTGCTAGAAGATTGAACTTGAAGGAGTTGAGAATTGTCTGCGGATGCATCTTTGGGATGTTTCTCTGGTTCTGGCATATGATTAACAGGAGTTGAGATAACTACCTGATTGGATTGAGAGGTTGAGGCTTCAGAGCATTGTTTATTTTTTTGAGATGGAGAGCCTTCAATAGAGAGGAACTTGTTACTGTCATGTTGGGGAGAGGCTGGGTTTGGATGAGGATTGCCTGAGTTGATAGGCGAAGATGGGTCGTCATTACGAGGAGCACTTTGTGAACCTGAAGAATTAATACCCGCCCAGTGATTGCTCTCCGTAGCTCTCATCCAAGCTCCATATTGTCCCTCTTTTAAGGAATGGGAATGGATGTCATCCAATCTCTTGGAGCAAGATCGTTCCAAATGCCCAATTAAGTATGAAATAATATTTAGTACTACTATGTTAGAAGTTAGAAATTATTATGGTATAGATTATTACTATTATAAATTAGAATTTATTACTATTTTGTTAGGACGCTTTTCCTACTGTAATATTCACACGAAACACATAACTCTGAGAAAAGTGTCAAACAATCTCTTGTCATAAAATCCGGCCAAGTCATACTGAATTAATCGATCTCAATGAATTGCTCTAACAGAATCCGTTTTTTCGTTCAATTTATTATTTAAATTGGTATTTATGAATTTCAAATTTAAGTCAAAATATTATTCGTATTTTTAAATTTATTACCGAGTTGAAAAGGAGCGGAATTAAGAAAAAAGGGAACTATAATCTTTAATAGCATCACTCGTTAGTATTTTATTATAGATAATTAGTATTATGTTATATGACATAATAATTTATGAGTTCTAACATAATAATAATAATAAAATTCTATTAGATAATTAGTTATATTTTATACTTTAACAATTTCTAAATTCTAACTATGAGATATTAAATTCGAATTTATAACATAAATCTAAATTCTAATATAATGTATATAATTAAAAAAAAAAAAAAAAAAATTGGCCAGCCGGCCGGCAAAACCGGCCGTGCATAGTGCGGCCAAAATGAAAAGAAGGCCACGCATGGTGCGACCAACATGGAAAGAAGGCCGGCACGGCTACGAAGGCCGGCCGGTCCTAAATAAAAAAATAAATTATTTTTATATTAAAAAGGGTAAAATAGTCTTTTTTGGGGGTGATATTTAGTAGAAAGGAGGGCGATATTTAGTAACACCCTTTAACAAATTCACATCAATTATATATGTTAAGATATCGCAAACCTCTGAGAGTTGTAATTTTATAAGAAAATTGGGGATTTCCCTATTATCAGATTACCCCACTAACCCAATTTTTTTTTTTTTTAGTCACATAATTTTCCAACAAAAATATAAATCAACAACAGCCCAAATTATCACGAGAAGAGAGTGACCATATGCAAGAGCTGTGACCAACCATGGGTGATACACAGCGTCCAGAAGAGAGGTCCCACATCATGATCTTGCCGTCTTCATCACCAGACGCCATGTAACGGCCGTCTGGTGACATCGCCAAGCATAAAACCGAACTCCTATGGCCGATGAAAATCCTAACACACTCCTCACTCTGAACATCCCAAAGCCGCACGGTTTTGTCACTGGACCCAGTGGCAATGTAGTTGCAGTTGGCGTGCCACTGCACACACTAAACGAGGGGAAAAGGAAATATAGCAATCACAGTAAAGAATACATATACGTTAAATGCAATTTTAGAAAGAAGTTGGATTCAATGCGGCAGCATTAAGGACAAGTCAAGCTATTTGGGTAAGGTGAATTCTTGGATATGTGAGGGAATATACTGAACCAAATCAAAGCATTTTCTTTTTCCCGCATGGAAAGCATACCAGTTATGTGTGTTGATGAAGGTGTCGAAACTGACCGAAGGCAATGTCATGCTACTCAACTGAACACGGTTTCTCAAGTCTTCAAGAATAGAATGTTCCACATCTTCCGTTCTGACATAACATGAATAAAACTATTAATAACAAAATCTCTGTATTTTGGTTAGCAAGAAGACTAGCCAGAAAGAATAGTTAACATCCATCAACGGAACATCATATATGTACATAAAAATATTACCGAAGCATCTAAGAACTTCTAGAATGGTATTTACTCCTCTATGATGGAAAAATTTAAAATTCCTCCTTTTCTGGATGGGTTTGTGTGTCATGCTTCAAATTGAGACACTGGATTAGATTAATTGGTTTTCGTGTTTATAACGAAGTTGCTTCAAAATAATGTTCATCTATGGAATAAATGAGTAGCACTATAGTTCGTAACCATGATCATAAGACTTAACGTTTAATATTATATTATATTATTACATCAAAGAAAACTTATTTAAATTTCTAGATCCGACCCTGCCCAGCACCATTCAAAATAACATTCAAATATAAAACTACCATTAGCACGTTCCCCTAACACCTTTTATCTTCATCTATCATAAAAGCAGAAGAAATACTAATGTGTCTACAACCACCATTCCCAAGCCATTTAACTAAAATACTCGAAAACAATCCAACCCTAAGCCAGAGCGGCCCTGGCCCAGGGCGACCTGAGCAACAGCCCAGAGCCCAATTCATGGAAGGGGCACCGGCCCATATGCTATACTCTGCCTATATGTACTACTATTGGTTTAATTTCTATGAATTAAATAAGGTGAGCCTTCAAAGACATTTATTGTCCACCTTCTCTACAACTTTTAACACACTCTCACACGCATTCAATTTTTAAATTTTCTATAACACATTTCTCTCTCTCACAAACCAAAGCCACCTAGCCGTCTTTTATATCTATCATTTATTTATTTCTCTCAACTTAATTATTATTACATCTAGTTACATTATCCTATTATACCTATTTGTCTTACTTAAAAAAATATATATTATTTGTTGTTTGGCCATTATAATTAATTTATAGATTATATTTAATTAACTTTCTAAAATTAGGTTTAGCGTGGTTTAAGGATGCTTGATAAGAAATTTAAATATATTTAATTTTTATTTTGTAACACTTATGGTTGGTTTATGCTTTGCCCTTTTTAAGTTATGTGTTGGAGTTTTTCCAATACAATGCCCGAAAGAGAGGTAAACTATCAATTCGGGGCCTGAAATTTTTTTTTTCTCAATTCGGGACATGAATGTTATAAAACTATCAAATTAAGTCCTACCATTAACAACACTCACAAAACCATTAAATTGAAAGTTAATTTAAGTTTTAAAACACCAAATATATATTTTTTTTAATATTATACAAATGTTTACTTATTATTTTATGTGAGTAAGCAACAATCTTTTATTTTTCTTCAAATTTAGTGTTTTAAAACGTAAAATTAACTCTCAATTTAATTGTTTTATGAGTGTTGTTAATTGTAGGACTTAATTTGATAGTTTTATAACATTCATGTCCCGAATTGAGAAAAAAATCTTTCAAGCCCCGAATTGATAGTTTATCTATCTTTCAGGTCTTGTATTGAAAAAACTCCTTATTTTTTTTATAGCTCAAACATAATAATAAATTAATTAAATGTCATTAAATATTTAAGATAATTTTGATAATAATTTAATTGTAATTTTATTTATTAATGACCTTTAGTTAAAACATCATCATGTTTGAACTATTAAACAAACCATTCTTATTACATATAAAAACTACTAAAAAATGTGAACCATATCAAAGTTAACAATTAATTAATCTATGCAATAGAAGGCAGCTTGCGGCTCTCAGGATGGCCTTCTTGCATCAACACTCCACCAATGGAAAAATCGGACAGTGTGTACCTCGTATGCCTTGGTGTAATCCGGAAGAGCTAACACCGGTTCTTCCATCACCGTTCGTTTTCAACCTCGAATGCGAATTGGATTAGTTTCCCCTCAATAAATAAGTGCTTGGCCACCAAAATCCTGCCTAATGGAGAAGTAGTTGGAGAGGTGACAAAACCCTATTGTTTTCATTACAAAACCATATTACATGATATTTGATTATGGTTATACAATTGATATTTTTCTGCTAAGAATTCTAACGAAACATTGTAAGTAATTTTACTACTATAATATTTGTGCCGCTAAAAAGTGTTTAGTTGGTCAATTAGTTATTTGATTTGCCTGAAATTTACATTGAGACAGTATATTTTGTAAAAACACTCAAGATATTATCTATTGTAAATTTGAAAAATGAAAGTGTGCCATTAACCTTCATATACGTGATGAATTGTTAGCGTTTTTGATGAGGTTGTGCCTTACATAAGATATTGTTTAGCATAATAATTTTTGGGGCTTTGTTAATGTTATATAAATACTCTAGTTTTTCTACATAAAAAATACTTGACACTATTTTTGTATTTGATCCAGGGCCCAATAATATGTATTTGGCCCAGGGCCCAATAATATTCAGGTCCGGCTCTGCCCTAAGCTACACAACTTGGTTTTATGTGTAAAAATTGGGCATTCCAAATGGAAAAATTGAAGTCCGAAGGCAGCATGATTGTTTATTCCCGAATCAAGATTCTAAAATGACAGTTAGGGAGTTGTGAAACCTATTCAGCTACTCAAATTTGGTCCAGTAATATTTACGTTGTGTGGCAATTGCTGGAAGATTGCATGTATTAAGCTCACGGCTAGGAGCAATTTATATATTTATTGATAAAAAAATAATAACTGGACAAAAAACAACAAAAAAGGAGGATAGTGGACCAACATAAAAAAACACGTATTCCGTGAATACGTTTTCTGTATATGTTAATAAAAAAACGTATTCACTAAATACGTTTTTTACATTTTTTTTATAAAGGAAAACGTATTCCGTGAGTACGTTTTACAATTAAAATATGTAGAAAACGTATTCACGGAATACGTGCTTTTCATTTATTTCAACCCACTTTTTCCTTTTTTTTTTTTTT